CGTATCTGGCTTGGAAAGGCGCGGGGAGGATGGGACGAGCGGGATTCAACTCGCCCTTGGCCGAAAGCGTTCAGCTAGCCTCTCCTGAGCCCTGGGGGTCCTGTAATTTGCTTTTGGCCCCAGCTCCCAACCCTCGGCCGAGCCAAGGCGCTGCAGGTGGATTGCTGCTCTCCTCGGAGCGGTCAGGGTGTCCATCCGAAACCCAACCAACACCCGCACGGTCCGGGGATGGGTATAAATAGACACCAGATGGTGGAACAAGTGAATTTGACCTTTTAATCTGCACTAAATAGCTGTTTGTTCGGTTTGCTATTCCATCTTCGCTTTCCAGGCAGAGGGAAGGCGGACGGGTGTTTTCCGAGTCCCTCCGTTCCTGCTGCTGAAAGGGTTTCTTGGCTGAGGATGCGAGGGTTGAGGGTCCTGGGGGATTTGCAGTGGGGACTGAGAGCTCCCAGGTAACGACTGCCAGGATGGAGAGAAACCTGCCATGGGTTGGTAAAGGACGGGGCAGGATTTGCTCCCTTGGAAGCGATGGGTGATCCCGTGACGCGCAGCTCCAGCGTAGAGCACCCTTCTAGGTCTCCACAGGCATCGTTTTAGGAAGGCTTTGTGATATTTTTAGGAAGTTTTCCAACAGACTTTCCCCACGGGGTAAGCAATTCCCCTGGTCCCCTGGAGCAGCCGCTTGCGGGGATCTCGCCCTGGGTTTCTTGCCTCGGCGGTGACTTCTCCGTGGCATTTGTTGCATGCTTCGGGCTGGGATGTGAGTCATGTCGCGGAGATCTGGCCAGTCTAAATAAACCAGGCTGTTCAGCACTCCCATCATCCTTGCTGGGGTCTGCCCTGGGATAATGAGCCGGGGAGGACTTGGGACGCGTCCCGCTGAAGCGAAATATCTGTTTACGTGGGGCTGCCAGCGCCGGGATAAAATGTGGCAGAAAAATTGAAGATGGCCACAACCAGCCTGGGCGAGCGGCTCTGCCCCGTGAGCCGCTCTCGGCGCCGCAAACACGGCGTGGCTGATAGGGGAGGGGGGCACCTCCCTACACACCTCCCTCTTTGGGGAGAAAACGGCGTTTTGTGCGTATCGCCGTCCCGACGGCTCAGCGAGCAGAGCCAGCTCCACTCGGGGAAGATGGATTTGGGGTGAAACTCAGCCGTCGGAGAGGGCTTCCGCCGAGTCCTTCCAGTTTAATTAGATACTGGCGCTGAGGGCAGACGGCGGGGTGTGATGCATCTGGGGAGGAGAGAAGCCACTTTCTCTTTCCCAACACCAGATTGTGTAATAGCCGCATTTTTTTCGCCTGACTCCGGGGCCGGGAGCGGGTGCCAAGCAGAGGAGGAATTTCGATGCTCCGATAAGATGTTTACATCAGCCAAAACGTCGCTGGCGTGTCTGACGTGTGAAGTAATCTCCGGTTCATCCCAGTCGCCTGAGCAGGGGATGCTGCTGGGCGAAGACTGGGCTGTCAGAGCGCTTCGGCCCCGGTTTGTCGCCGAGGGTGTTGGGTTCAAACCCTCCTGACCGGCGCGGGCAGGGGTTTTACAGCCGTTTTGCACCCACGGGAGGTTGTGCACGAGGTAGCTCCTGCCCCGGGGCAGCGAGGGCAGGGTTAATCCCTTGGGAATATGCAAGAGCACTCGCAGGGACACGTGAGGTTTTCCCGCAGGGTTTCTGGGTGCAGAGGGTTCGTGGCAGGTGGAGAAGGACACGCAGGGGTGGGCTTGTCCCGCCCGTCCTTCCCGCCGGCGCAAGGTGTAAAGCATCACGTACAGAAAAGGCAGCACTTGGTCCATCAGCGCTGCCTGAATCGGTCTGGATGTGGTGGGCTTCATAAATGAGGTTGATTTCTCCTTTCCTAACCAAAGAAAAAAAGATCCACGTGGCAAAGATTTCACCCTGCCTCTGTCTTCCCCCGCAGAACCACGTCCTGACCCTGATGTCCATGGCGGCTCGCATCTACAAGCACCCCAGCCTGAAGAACTCCATCAACCTGGTGGTGGTGAAGGTGCTGGTGGTGGACGAGGCGGCGGCGGGGCCGGAGGTGTCCGACAACGGCGGGCTCACCCTGCGCAACTTCTGCAGCTGGCAGCAGCAGTTCAACCCCCCGAGCGACCGGCACCCGGAGCACTACGACACCGCCATCCTGCTGACGAGACAGGTCTGGAGGGTGCCTTGGGGATGGTCTGGAGGGGAGAGGAGAGGGGTTGAGGTGTTCTGGGAGGGAGAGGAGGGATCCCACCACCATGCAAAGGATGGAGCTTAGAATCATAGACTCATAGAATCATTAAGGTTGGAGAAGACCTCTAGGATCATCAAGTCCAACCATCAACCCAACACCACCATGCCTGCTAAACCATGTCCTCAGGTGCCATATCTACACATTTTTTGAACGCCTCCAGGGATAGGGACTTCACCACTTCCCTGGGAAGCCTGGTCCAAGGCCTGACTGCTCTTTCAGTAAAGAAATTTCCATAAAGATATTTTTCCTAATATCCAATCTAAACCTCCCCCGGCGCAACAGCAGCTCGCAGCAAAGCAACCGGGGAGCAGTTTGCAGTTGGGTTGCAGAGCCCTGGTGGGTTGCCCAGCTCCGCTCGGAGATATTGGGGGCTACCAAACACCCCTTCGCCCTTGTCTCACCCCCCCTCCTCGGTGCTGCTCCCAAACAGGACTTCTGTGGACACCAAAGCTGCGACACGCTGGGAGTGGCCGATATCGGCACCATGTGCGACCGCAACAAAAGCTGCTCGGTGATTGAGGACGAGGGCCTGCAGGCAGCCTACACCCTGGCTCATGAACTGGGTAAGGCGTCCCTTCCCGGGAGGTTTCTGCTTTTTCAGCCCGATACGGCCAGCCCCGCTGCTGAGAGGGGATGTATCACAGAATCACAGAATGGTAGGGTTGGAAGGGACCTCTGTGGGTCATCTCGTCCAACCCTCCTG